TTTTCTGGTCAGGGCTCAAGCCATGTGGCCCTGTCCAACAATAAACCATCTTTCCAAACAGCCTCCATGTCTCCCACTTGGAGCTGAACCCAAAAGGACATTTCTTTCAACACTATGTAATTTGCAAACTTAAAAATGGGAGGTGAAAGGGCCTCATAAGTGGAATAGCCTAGGGCCTCTTTTCATCTAAATCCGGCACTGCCACTTCTCTTCGATAGGCTAGATTCTAGAATCTACATATACCCAGCTCTCTCAACCGCTCATACGATTTAGCCTCTTTTCTTCACACTTTTTGAAGTCTTAGCATCTTTTTTGCATCGTAGTGAACAGAACTGCATTTAAACTATTATACAACAAACGTGCCCATTTTATATATGCTCAAAAGCCGATCAAGTAAGCAGATTTTTTTCTGCAATAAATGGAGCAGCCGGGGTCTAATGAGATTGGTTTCTGCTGCCGGTAACTTGCGAAATAAGGGAAATACGGTACCCCGCAAGCTCACGTGGCTTGGAAAAGTCAGAAAGACTGAGGAATGCTCGGTTAAATTTCAAACCCGGAAACGGAAGCATTAAAGTCAGAGGCGAGGGTGTTTTTTTATTTTATTTTCCTTTGCATTCCAGAGAAGGACTAGAAGTGGTGAGCGGTGAGTGAGCTGTTGTGACTTTCCCGAAGCTAATCTCCTTTGTCTTGATTTACGTCAGTCTGGTTTGTGCAGAGTCAGGGGGTGGGGTGAAACGTGTTGCTGAACTAGCGGGTATGGAGGAGAATCTCCAATTCAAATAACGGGAAAAGAATTAAATTTAGCGGGGAATAGTAAGAGAATATTAGGAAATTAATCACAATGCGCGACTTTATGAATTTCAAACTGCAGGTTTAGTCATATGCCTTAGTGGAAAGTTTACTTTTTCCAAGTAAAGTGTGTAAGATAGCAAAAGCACTTAGACTTGTATACTGCTTCACAGTGTTTTACAGCCCTTTCTAAGCGGTTTACAGAGTCAGCATATTTCCCCCCAACAATCTGGGTCCTCATTTTACTCACTTTGGAAGGATAAGTCCTATCCATATTTTCTTGGACACCATTTAAGTGATAGGATTTATTTCTGAGACTATTTCTGCTTCTGACTGGACCAGGAGCAGTTATGATAAGCTGATGACTTTGTTCCCAGGATCATAAAAAAAACCTTGAATATATTTAATACAGATCACAATCAGGATTTATTGTTCTCCCAGCATTCATCTATGCTGATGTATGTTAGGTATTACAGAGCATTTCCTTGTACAAAAGTATCATAGGAAACTGTTTTTATAACAGCTGTATAGAATTTCAGTATGTGCAACCTACACATACACACACACGTGCAGAGAGAGCGAGAGAGCAAGTGTTGTAGACTGCAGTTGTGGAAGTTGAGACTGCAGAAGTATCTCCACCATCAAGTTGATACCATACTAGCTCTTAGCAATCACACAGATAGACTTTTCCCATAACAATCTGTCCCTAAGTTGGTCTTCCAATGGTACACATATCACTGCTTTAATTGTGTCTATGTACCTTGTTACAGGGTCATCCTCTTCTATTTTCTTTCACCTTTCTCAGCATTCTCAGCATTCTCTAGAGATCTAAATCTTTGCATAATATTTCCAGAGCAGGAAAATTTGAACTTGGCCATTTGTGCCTCAAGTGGGGTTTTTGTTTGGTTTTTTATTTATTTATTTTGTTTGTTTGTTTGCTGACTACAGTATTATCAGCAGTCTTCTCCAAAACTAAATTCATTATTTTTCTTATTCTGTTTCTTCAAAATCCAACCTTCACTTCCAAAGGAAAAGTACAGTAGTTTCTTTTCTTAATACTGAAGCTAATTGGACTACAATCTAATTTTAATAGTAGCTGTGAAACAATTGTTCTTGCTTGAAGATATTAGAATATATTTTGTGGTGGATATGTGATCAAACATAGTGTGTTATGTCTTCAGCTTTTGTTTGCTTCCTCTTCAGTATTGCTTCCTTTTGTCTAAAAATGAAAAGGATCCTGACTAAAATGCATACATCAGTAAGCTGTATCTCTTTGAAGATGGCAAACACATAGTTTAATATGTAGTTTGAAAGAATATAAATAAAGGAAATGGGCTCTTCACATCTTTGAATGTTTGTACAGTTTGCAGTTTGTTCACTTTCCTTATTTGCTGTATCAAATATATTATTTTTATTACAAATTTAATGATAGAAATAGAGAGATTATTTAAATTCCATTCTAATTTTATTAATGTGTATTATCCACCCAACTCCAATGGACTCTAGTTGTATATAGGTAGTATTTCATTGAGAATATAGTATTATTTAAATACCACCCAACTTCCAATGACCATGGGAACCTTAAAATCATTAAAATATTTTAAAACCAACAACAAACGCACACAACCAAACAGAAGAACAATGATGGCAAAGAAAATAAATAGTTCTGTGGAAAATTTTTATAGCTGATCTTAGCAAAAACTGAGGATGTTGCATAGTTGGGAGCTCTTGAAACATAATTTCCTCTTATGATTAAGCTTATAAACAACTTTTTAGATCACTGCAGGATGTTCCTCTTGGAAACAAAATGTTCTTCATAAGCCAGTACAGAGTTAAAAAAAAAGAATAGTTACCCATCTTCCGTTTTCCACTGCCTGAGAAATGAGAATGTCAGCAAGAAAAGGAGAAAAATTCTTTGGACTTTAAACTCTTGGCACAGTTCAGTTTTCAACAGACATCAGGATAATAAGATAGATAGATAGATAGATAGATAGATAGATAGATAGATAGATAGATAGATAGATAGATAGATAGATAGATAGATAGATAGATAGTTAGACAGA